CTGCTAGAAGCACAATTTAGAAGTGGCACTAGAAGTTCGCGTCGGGAGACTATTCCATAGAAGATGAAGACCGACAGATCAGTCCATAGTTGTTCTTGTACTGAAGTCAATCGGCAAGGTGCGAAAGCTCGATCGACGGGTGCCTCATTCTTTGAAACAGTATGACATGGACCGCCGCGCCAACACGGCACTTTCTCTCCCCACGCTCAAGCGCACCCACACGTGGCTCGAGCACCTGGTCACCGGGGATTAGATGTGATTTCACTACTCTACCGTTCACCGGCGTGCTCGATGGGTTGACGAAGGTGCTTACGCAGAACCTTAAACCCAACGTACCATCAAGGAGGTTGTGCTCTGCAACTGGTGGAGCATTCACGTTTCACGATCTGTTGGGAGCTGCTAGACAAAGAATATACGGTGACCTCAGGCGTTTACATTAAGCAACTGAGGAATTTGTGGGCTAATCTCGAATCTACACGTCCACAGCAGCACAAGGTTTATTTCCAGCACGACAACGCTTGGCCGCACAGTGCAAGAACGACCAAAATCTACCTAATGAGTTTCGGCCGGACAGCTCTACCACAATCACCATATTCTCCGGACTTGGCTCCCTCGTAATACCACCTTTTGTTCCCATCTCCAACCTCATCTGGGTGGAAAATTTTTAAACCCGTGACGACATCAAAATGGCATTCGAGCAGTTCTCCAAAGGCCAACCCCCCGCGTTTGGAGCAATGGCATCTACGATCTACCCAAGTGTTGGCAGAAGACCATAGAAGCCAATGGGCGTGTTTCAAATAATTGGCAGTTGTTTTTTGGAAAGTGAAGATAAATATAATCGTTGTCAATTTGTCCGAGGACTGATTACTCAACCTCATATCACGATCCTGATTCAAACCTGAAAAAAGCGCTCGCAGGGCAAAGCTTTCATTAGTAAATATTTTGCTCAGCCAACATGTTTTGCTATCTATTCCTCCACCCCTGGAATTCCGGGCAAAAGAGCTCGTTTGATCGTTTTTTTCTATTCCGCGTACAAGCTTTGCGTCATGACTACGTTCACTTACTGACGCAGCAGTCAGTCAACAAAGTTAGATATTGCCTTCTGCTTCTTTATGTCTTCCCCTTCTTTCCTTCATTTTTTTATTCACCTCTAACTGACACCTTGGTTTCCTCCGTTCTCCACTATGAATTTCAGCCAGTATACGACAACGTTTCCTACACTATGTATATGATTCGATAGTTCCGAGACTAAAAATCCTCGCTGGCACCATTGAGGCTAGATCCATACAACATCATTTTAAGGAATACCAGCGAATGTTTTCCACGATTCTTTTGTGGTGCCATGAAAACGTCGTGGTGGCGGATCATTAGTTAACTTCCACCTAGGAGTGATATGTAGAAGTGCAATTCGGAGCACAGCTCGAATTGCATTGATAGGTGGTCTTACATTAATTTTCAATTTTTTCATACCAAACGCTATTGCTTCTCTTGCTTTGAAGGTGTTGCGGAACATTTATGTTAACAAAGTGTACGTGTATCAAACAGGTCTTAAACTAGTATTATGCTTTCTGAGCACCGTGCTCTTCACCTCATACACCCTCGCTACCTTCCACCCCTACCACAACCCCGCTTGCCCTCGCTTTTTTATTGGCTTCCGAGTCCGAGCTTATAGCACTCAGACGAAAATACGTAAATGCTTTATGTAGGACCGAGTAAAAAAGAAAGATAGTAAAAGCGCTCAGCAAGAATATCAAGCCAAAGTGTATCATTTACTTCCTAACGAAGTCAACCAGACTCAGGATGGGTGAGTACAGTTTTAATTCTAAGTGATGTTAAAGTGCCGGTCTTTTCAACTCCTTTCAACCGCTACCAATTTTTTTCATTTCAGTGTTTGTTTCAGTGTGTCGCTTATACAAAACCATCGAGTGGCTTACCTCATTATGCACTTGGTTCCAGTTTTTACAGTGGCACTGTTTTTCTGCATTTGGATATATATTGATCGTGATGAAAATTTGTGAGTAGCTAATTGCAGATGCTTTTGGCAAAAGCAACATCAAGGAAAGATTCAAAGGGCATGAAAGGTGATTTAGAGGAATGATGAATCTCGAATTAAGAAGATTAACTTTCCCATCATCACTGACGAATAAAGAGCGAGCGATTGGAGATTGCTTCGATGACAGCGGTATCGATTAGATAGACATACGTCGGTCTTGAAGCGGACTAAAGCGTTTACAATTAACTCATTTGTTTGAGCTTTTGATCCTGATGGAAATTTAAGTTTAACATATTGTGCTTCATGTCGGTGAAAGCTTGTTGCTTCTAGTTTGCGTATTTCACAAATCTTTAGATAAGTTATTGGTGACATTTCTCACATTCAAAGGGAAGACAATTTCAAACAGCGGCCTGCACTAGAAGGAAATGGAATAATAATGCAACGTCGTTGCATGCGGCTTGTTCACGTTCGGTACTGCCCCTTACAGGTACTAATAAGATCGTAAGATCAGGTGAGTAGTCAACGCGCTTGAGTGATTGACCTTTCATAACGACAAAATCCAAAAATCGACAGCGAAATCATAAGAGCATCTCGCATGCCTTTGGAAGAACTCTTGGAATGTTGTTCATATTTATTATGTTGAGCTGCACTGTAATTATTGATTGAAGTCAGTTTGGAATCAGTGATGCTGGGTTTATGGATGCAACCACTATTTTCTGAGCAGATATTAGCTGGTAACACAAATCGAGAGTTTCAGCGGCTCATATTCAATCCAATTCCGGTTCTTGACAACTGAATTCGATATTCATGAAGGGAGGATTCTAGGTTTGTGGGGGTTACGCCATAACTCGACTTGAGTGCCTGAATCCACCTGTGACTTGCACTGAATTTGTCTTCTGTGGGATTGTCGGTTTACATTGCTTTTTGCAAATGCCGTTGCTGTGGAATGCCCATACTCCTTTTTGCGACAACTTTTTCTTCCGAATGTTTTGCTCACACCTGAACTCATCTGGTCTTTTGGCAGAATATGATGTGATTCTAAATACTTGGTGCAAAAAGAGTGGACCGATCTGTCTGGCATAAAGTGGAATTTATTTGGAAGAACAATAAGGTTAGAGGTTTGGCTTTGTTCAAAACCTCCACATCTCCGAAAAATCACGAGGTTTCTTCTCAGTGTTGCTGAGACTGTCCTCGCCACTATCATCAAGTTATTAGAGAGATTCAAATCCCTCCAATAGGTGATGAATTCAATCCCTCTGATAGGTGATGAATTCAGGCAGAACTATCTATGGTAGTGTGTGTTGAAGAAGGCTTCAATTAGTGGGTGATAAGGAATCCTTTCTGCTCAAAGTTTCGGATAGCACTTGAGATTCTGTGAACCCATATTAAGCGGAGGTTTTGCACGCGAATTATAAAAGTGTTTCACAAGCGTTCATTATGCGTTTCATGGTTGGGCCAAACGAATGAAGAAACGGTCAAGGCGTCATCACTCCTAGCCCACCCACAAACCAACTGCCGCACCGCTGTACAGCGAGGGAACTACTCGGTTAGTTTATCATATTGACACATTGCTATGATACAGATGACATCGATCTCGTAACGAGATCAGCGTCTACCAGACAACTCGTCTTCGATGAGCACTGAAAGTGCCTTTCTATTGTTGGTTTGACCATCAAACATCTACTAGAGCTCGAGAACCCTTCACTCAGATCAGGACATCATCAAGGTGTTGCTTTCAAGGAAAGAAATCCCGAGACCTCCTCTCAAAAATGAAATTATTGGAAGGTTGATCGGAAGTTGCTTAATTTTATTATATTTCGGCAAGCGTGCTTCCCTATATGTAGGCCCTATATGTAGGCTAAGCAAAGTAGAAATCGGAGGTACTACTAATCTTCGAATCAGTTCAGCTGCATACAATTCGCACCTTTTATTTTCTGAATTTAACCTAACACTTAATTGTCCACGAACATTTTCTAGTTCCATTATGATGCCGCCTAGAGCCCACCCTGAATCCGACTGAAATCTTTTATGCTCTTATACGCTCCTCCTGAGTTTTACTTGCATATACAAAGTACCTACTTACGACATTTAGAAGTCTAGAATTGCAGAAAAAGGCCAAAAATTCACAATATCAAAACTTTTTATATGTTAAAGTCGTATACAAGTGAATTTAAGGAAGGTCGTATGCTCAATCACTGGTTCTTGGCCTACCGGAGTATATGGAGTTATAACCAGATATATTATGACAGTCAATATGCTTATAATTCTTTGCTATGCTGTATTTCTGTATCAGCTGAAAAAGTCCACAGCTGGGGCAGGTAAGTGCGACTCGCTTCTGAAGGCGAAGCATATAGATTTAGTACTATACATTATTACATGCTCAGGTTCAAGATTAACAAGAGCAGGATAACTAATGAAGAAGAATGGAATGAGTGTCCAACCTCAAGTTTTTGTTTGTTAATTTTGACTAGTTCTCTAAAACAAAAGGCAGAACAGATTGATATAGAGATAACAGGTATAACTGTTGACTGATTATTCGTCGCTTGAAATTCAGAATGTATGCCTTCTCGGTTAGTTCGACTGGAAGAAAAGTTGGAGGTAAAAGAAAGTGCAAGCAGAAGCCAAAACTGAGATACCCTGAGCTACAGGATAACTTTCAGGTCATACGTAAAGACATTTCCAAGTGAACACGAAATTTATTGGGAAGTCGTGAAGTCTAAAAAGTAGACCAGAGTAAATTGTCGTCCACCGATCTGGAAGCATTGCAGACGATCACAACTGGCAGTTGCAATGGCTGCGGTATTAGCAATTTCCAAAAACCTTTTTTCCTTGGTTACACTTTGTGCGACATTTGTGGACTTGCTTCCGCCGCTACGAACATCCCTCAGCAGTGTCGTCTGAACCTCTTGATCATGACTTGTTTCGATCCTACAATCAAAGAAAAAACGTATAGAACTCCAAAAAGCCTTCACCACGAATTTAGAGTTGTGGTTTTCCATGGTTTACAATGATCGGTACTAACGATAGTGAAGTTTTATTGGTCAATCGTTGCTGGTATATAGCAGAACCCATTGTCCTCAGGAGAAAATCTTTTTCCTAAAAAGCGGAACAGGAACTAAACTATCCCCTCCCCAGATTTTTTAATCACACTCCTATGAAATTTCCAGAACTTTCGTGAGAAGTGTAAACCAAAAAACATGAGCCACCTCGTGCACTACAGTGACAAAGGTACACTAGATACACTGGATGAGGATGTCAATGATAGTAGGAATTTTGACTTCACACTTCTTCGAAAATTGTGGCAGGCTTAGTTTTTTGGCGTTCATCACCTCATTGATTTCATTGCAGGGAATGACAAGATGAGAAATATATACAAGTCGTTGATTGTAACCAGTTTTACCGTAGTCTTTGGCTACTTCACAACAACTTTCATTGGAACCGCTGCGCAAGTTCTCAATCTCGACATTCCTAGAGCGTACGTAGATTTGTTCGCCGGAACGTTTGTTACTACAACTTGCTCTTTCAACATTTTTGTCTACTACTTTATCAGGTGAGCAATTGGCAACCTACTACTGTGAGAAAAAGGCCCGTTTCGAAAATATTCATAAAAAATCGTTCTTTGCACGTATTCTCCCAACGTAGTGCGGTCTACCATTGTTTGAAGGCTACATAACTGATCCAGTATTCCCAAACACAATATGCTACTACGAATGTTTTGGCTTGCCATTTAGTGGAGTTGTGACATTTTGTTTCTTTCACTGCTCAACTCTTTGATAGTTCGTAGAATATTCTCGGAGCTGCTTATGAATCAATCTGCTCAATCCCCGCTCTCAAAAACTGCCCCAGAATACGGAAGCAATTGCACAAAAGTCACAGTAGTAGTTGTAGTATTGTGAGAGTTCTTTGATTGCTGAAGAAACGATTTTCTTATGGAGATCGTCAAAGGCAGGGATCACGGGGGCTACGGTGGTGAAACAATTGCGAAGTTGGCAAGGAGAGCGGAAAAGTCGACCGATAGTAAAGGATATTAGGCTCCAAAAAAGTAAGGGAGGGTTGTACGAGATATTAGCGATAAAAGTGAGTATCTGGACAAGTTGACATCGGTGTAATGTAAAATTTAGAACCGAGAAACGTGAAATGTGGGAAACCTGTATGATTTGAAGTTTTGATACTCGATCGGTTGTGCATTTGAAGCTGCAAAAACAGGCACCTCCGATGTGTCCCAACAANAGAAAGCGATATGTCTTCTGCACTTGTTATTGTCTTAATATTATTATGTCCTACCAAGTCATATCAGGATGAGAAGTGATGTTGTTGAAGATGATTTTTGAAGCATCAAGACGACTTCACTGTGGAATTGTGTTTCATGGAGCGTTGTACGATTCAATAAATAATTGAAATTAATGTAGATGTCTTGCCTGACGAGCTTTATTGCACTGTTTTTAAGAAATAAGCCTTTGTTATTTGATGTCCTCAAAACTATTTTTTTGCAGTTTTTCATCAGAGTATGTTCCCTGCTTTCTATACCATGGAATGGTAATATACACAAGATTTGGAAGATTCAAAAAACCAAGTATTCTGTATCCACTTCATTACTGATCAGCTGCGGTATCTAAAGATGATCTGTGGAAGTTTTTATAGCTACGGCACAATGATTACACAGGAGCTTCTGAACATGGAGCTTTTCCAATAGCAAGCGCTCTCTCCAATAGTAGGGGTTTCATTGATGTTCTTGACTGGATCAAGGACAAAGGCTCCTCAGTCGTTTCAGACAAAAAAAATCACGTCCGACATTTGCAAAAGAATAAAAATGCAGCGACTTTTTTGCAGAGTTGTATCATAGCTTCGAGGACCCAGGGAGCCGCAAGGTGATTTGTTTAATTACCTCCTTAACAACTTTCAAATTGTAGTAATAAAAAATAGTGATGGCAGGCCAATTACCTGAGAGCAAAATGGTTTATTACTCTCGATACTTGCTTACTGCTTCTACTTATATCTTTAACCACTGAATCAGAAGCTCAATGAAGAGGAACACCTACGCTCGCCTGAGAGAAGCTTAAAGGCACAGCTCACGATAATTTTAAGTTATCTTTTTTAGGTTTAAAAGCGGAAGTGTTGACGTAGAGGAGTACATCGGTGACGAGGAAAGCGAGAAAATCAGTCCACTTCAAGTTTTTTAAAAGTAGTGGAAGTGGAGCTTGTACGAGATCCTCGCGGCACGAATGGCATGTAAGGGGTTTTCGGACGAGATTTAACTTACTCCCATCTTCAAGAAACTGATAACATCAAACTATAACTGTTCAGAATCGCCTCTTACTGTCGCTATGGGTCATGACAAGCTGCTTGAAGTCCCTATATGGTTCTTCTAAATGACGTAGCCTCTCCAACGCCGTTCATAGTCGTCCGCTGTAGGTGTGGCATTCACACGATACCATCTATAGTTCCTTTTTGTGCCCATCCATCCAGGACGTTTTTCGCTCTTATATCGACACGTATGGTATAAGGAGGAAGCTCGAATTCATGCTATAGGGAAATCTCAGAAACCATTTTTATCGTGATTTATGCCTTTTAGCCCCATGATGGTTGTCTCAGAATCCAGCTGATAGAACAACACTTAGGATCTATTTTGTCGATCCAGGAATATCATTCATATTCTTTTGAGCAAGGCTATCATGCAGAATGCGAAACAAAGCATATTATTGGATACTCACTTTCGTTTTGGGGTCAAGGAGAGCGCCAATTTTTGCCTTCAAACTATACTTCGACTTCCACAGAACTTACATACCGGGTAAGGGGAAATTCGTCAGACTAGACTAGACAAGTGTTTTCATATGCTGCGTCGCCACAGTTTTTGTAATTCAACTTTCTAACCAATTGCCTGCTATTATGTATGCAACAGGTGTAATAAGTTTTCATACCGTATTTTTACGTTCAAAACATTTGATTAATTTGAAATCCACTGGATGACTAGTAAGCCTACTGTTTTCGACTAAAAGTTTTTTACGGAAATAATATTTCATTTCGTTTCATTTATTACGCTCAGAGAACGCGCTACAACTTACGAATCCTTGAGAATGAGACTACTGGAGAATAAGTAATAGTGAAGACAATTGACAAGGATAAAGGATAAAAAAAGTTTAAAAAATATAAAAAAAACAGAAGAGCAATCTACGACAGTAACTCAACTGTTCGCTTTGGAGAGAAGTGTGGACACCAGAGAAGGAAGAAGCATATAACAGGTATTACCTCTTACATTGCTTCCATAAGATAATAGAGCGCTCAGGGATATCACGGTTGTGTGATGTTTTACGACAATATTCGGATGATTATCTGTCGCAATCCTTCTAGCTGTTTACCTCAGCCTCCTGAACAAAGAAATGTTATATTTCTACCATTCAGCCATAATGATACCACCACTTGGCCTTCCTTAAGCATCTCTCCTCTTCCTCAGCATCAGCAATGCTCGAGTCTTCAAAATATGAAATATCGGCTCTGGACCTTTATTTCGCTCCGCGTGATTCGTTATTTGTTGGTGAAGGGAAAATCAAATGTTTCATTGGACATAAGCCTCTTAGCTGAAGAAACACAAAATTCTCTACTAGGCTATGACACAAAAGTAATATGGGGAGCGCTGCTTACCATCGCCAGCAATTGCCTGAGCTGATCTCCTAAAATATAAACCTTAATGAATAACATTAAGTAAATATCGCAAGGTTATTGGACCAACTTAAGGATGGATGAGGCATAAAGGATCAGAATAGCACATGAACAGATCGCCCTCTCTCTCCCCTTTCGGTCAAAGCTTATCTATTTATTAGCTTGCAAGGAAAGTTCTTGCCGTTTTGACAACTAATTTTCAAAAAATTATAACTCATCTCAGAGTAAACATTTTTATTCAAAGTAAGCCCCAGTCCATCCTACACATCTCCACCAACGTGTACGATTTCCATTATTCTATTCCTATGAAAGCCCGAGAATTCGAGAAAGACACCTTCCACGCCGATTTGATTTTTGAATCCTAGCTCCTTTGAGATCCTGTCCAAATGTTTGTATAAATGGAAGTCAGTTGTTGAAAGGTCTGATGAGTGGGTGAATGAAGGGGAACTTCGATGCGATTCACCAGTGCTGGCTATATTCACTCCAGTTTCTGGACATCTCATGAATTTGATCACAGTAGGACTATGCGGTAATGGTTCGGACGGAGAAAGGAGTAGTGGACATGGCTGGACCACCAAACTGTAATGATTCTTCTTTATGTGTAAAATTGGCACGAGAAAAGTTCTTGGAGGTTCACCTACACCTAACCACCAAGCAGAGCGTTTTCTGTTGTCATTACCGTGTATTTCTCATCACATGCTACAAAAAGTTGGAGGAATGGCTCAATATCATTTCTTCACAGCAAAGAAATCGAAATTTCTGACGCTTCAGTTGCTGCTGCTTCGTGAGTTGGTGTGGCACCCACTTGTCATGTTTCTTCACCATCCCAAGCTGATTGAGGTGGTCAACGACGACCGGATCCGAAGTGCTCATATGCTTGGTGATCTTTATCAAAAGTTAGCGCCGACCTTCTTCTACTGCTCTTAGCGAAGCATCGTGATCAACTAACGATGGTCGACCATCCCGCCTTTGCCTTCCGATTACTCATGTCCATTCTGAAATCAAAGACAAACCGTTCGCTTCGATGCTTTAAAACCTCAAAAACCTTACGAAATTTCGAGAAAAGTGCTCTGACAGGAAGAGCAACTTATGGCTAACCTAACGAGCACAGTGCGTCGATTGGTCGAATTTGGCAGCGGGCCCCCCAATTCATATGGCGCCCTCACAGCCTAATAAACAAGATCGACCATCGCGCTAGCTGCCCTCCTTATGTTCATTTTGCATCCCAGTGGATTCTGTAAGTCAAAAAATAATGGATATGATACAAGCAGACTGACGTTGTCGCAAAAAATAAAAAGCATATGATCGTTGTGATATAGAACTCTCATTAATAACATGGGTACAGAATGTACGGAGACAGGTGCTGTGTTATGAAAGCTACATCCAAAAAACGAAGCGTGGGTGCTAAGTAATTATAAGATTTTTCTTGCATTACAGTGGGCTGCGTACGAATACCTGTGCCAATGCTGGTGCAGCTGAGTGGAGCAGTAGGAAGATAGCAGCACTCCATTTATAGCAGCTCGGTGGAGACGTATGTTCTATTCGTTTTCCGGAAAAGGGGTATTTCTACTTTGCACAGTCAGTATTGGTCAAGCCAGCACCACTCACAAACGTTAGTCTAAAGGTCTCGAAGTCTTTTGGCATTAATCAAACACGTCTGAGTGGTGCGCCCCGCATTCGACTTCATATTCAAAATCAAAGTAGCGTATTGAATGCCTGTGTGGTCCCTACAATGATTTGCAGTGGCTACTCGATGTACAAGTCTATGCTTTTACCTTCTCACATGAGTCTGGAACCAGTTACCCGACCGGAAGGCATCGTTTGCCGAACTCGCATCCATGCGTGTGAAATAGTGCGATACTTGCTTCTACACCACCACCCTTTAAAAAACGTTACAGAAGTTGAAGTGAGTACACTATCGTAGTAAAATTTAGGTTAATAGCTGGCTGTACAGGATTTCGTATATGGAGTGTGATGGAAGAGAGATTGTTATCAAAGTCTAGGCAGCTTTTTGAAACATTTTGGCATGCCATTGCAACAGGTTACCGGAGTCAAATCTTTGCCTAGATAGGTGGAAGCTTAACTAACTTGAATAGTAACTGACTTGGCGAAGCTATCAGATCCTGCAAGGCTACCAGTGTCTTCAATTTCATATTATCTCACTACTAGTTCACCTTATCCTGGGAACATGGAAATCAGCTTTCTGCCGTGGTACTCCGTATAATTGCAGTGTTGCTCACTTCTTTGAGAGCTGTATGTTTCGACCACTCTTTTCAAATCGCTCTACTTTCAATCTGAGTAACCTGGACACCGAATCCTCGACGAACTTATCCTGTAGGAAATTTAGGTAAGGACGCAAATCAAAAGCCTTATATTCCATCATTTGAAAAACTGAAGACATGTTTCGTCAGTTTGATTTTCGCGACTTCAAGGAGATAACATAGTACTTATCATTATTGCGTAACCAGTGAAGGCGATGACTCCCGAAAATGAATATTTGTGAAAGAATTCACCTATTCGCCTAATGGTGGGAGTATCCCATCCGTAAGGAATATAAGCATGGTTCAGTCCAATTTCAATTTTCAACTGAACTGCTACGTTTTCCTTTGAATGACAACCTCACTTCTACGAATACCACGACGGGAAAAACCGAAATATTCACTGTGAAAATGGGCAGTTTAAAAATGATTCCACTTTGTTGGTTTTTTCAAGCCTTCAGCACCTGCTTTCCGTTAATGGGGAAAACTTGAGAAATCTGAAATCTACGATTGCCTTCACATTACGATTACATAAGTGTCGATGTTTCTTTAAGTGTCTGCAACGGCTATCTGAATTTCTATTGTGTTTGTATATACACACTTACGAGCCCAATTCTTTGTGTTCAATTTGCCATTCAGTTCTTTTTGTTGCCAGCACGTACTCTGAATTTCCTACCCAGAACTTGTGTTACCCAGTGATTATGACTGCTGAAACGTAATCCTATCAGCTCAGTTTCGAACTTCCAAGAAATCGTTAAGTGAATGTTGTTGGTTTGAAACTGTTCTTAGTGATTGGGATTCGGTAAAATGCTTCTCCTAGATTTCACTGTGAAGGCAATGAAAATTCCAGTTTTTATAGAATAATCGAGTTGTTATCTTGGTGTTCTTTCGAAAGACTTGATACTTGTCATTCTGTTACTTTAATCGAAAGCAGAATTACATAAGTTATGCAGCTTTTCTCAACTCGTATTATTCTTAGTTACGCATATTACGTTGATGTACATGTTTAGCCCCTTGTATGGTGAATAATTACCCTCAGTGCAAACTTACGTTCCCTACTCGAATAGGATAATACCTACTATCAAGCCAGAGATGCGTTCCACTAACAAAAACAAAAAGGTCATGCGATGAACTCTCATCTGCAGTTGAGATCAGCATTGTGGAGCAGCTCCTTACGACCGTTATATCATGCGAAACGATTCAGCCGACAACGCTACAGTACTCTTTCCATCCCTTGTGTACAATTTGCTCCAAGCTCTTTGCGCGATGTTGAAAGATATTCTCCAATTTGTGAATGAATCTGATCTTAGCGTTGATAGAAACGCTGCAGAAAATGGTACCACACCAACATCCGATAAGCACGGGTCTGGCATCTTCTCCCCAAACGGCGTGTCGCGCTTACCGCACGCGATTACTCGCTATGAAGGAGAAGACTCGGATTCCCAATGGAAGGAGAGTCGCCGCGGAACCACTGCAGCAGGCCTGAGACATCGGGGAGACATTCTGTTACCTAATAAGCACCACTTTGTGTTCGTTAACGTATCTTCCAATTCAGCTTATTTCGCTGTGTGATATTCTCACTGGGCTCCTTTCCTACGTTTCTTATAGTACACTATGGTGCTGCTCAGCATAATTTCAGGAATTATCTTAAAAGACAAAATGCTAGCACCTGCTTATCAAGTGTTCTACATACTCATTTCAACTATAGGTATCATTGGAAACTCCCTTATAATATATGTTACCATACGGTCGAAGTGAGTTTAAATTCTCCAAGTATTTACGAAGCATTCCTTTCATTGATATGCAATAGTCAAATCATTCAAAATTGCGTGGACATCAAGAGGAACGGCGGGACTAGTAAGGGCGCAAAAGCGACATTGTTTTGACCAGGGGGCAATGCAGTCTTTTACATCACTACCCTTACCCGATTTCATCATCTCGGTTGAGCAGATTTCACGAATGTGCGGCAATTTTCAGTCGAAGAGGCTTCTGCTGTTGCGGTGGCATGGAAGGCCTCTGTGAGAGGCATTTAGAAGCAGATTGATTGCCAAAAAGTCATAATCAGTATTTTGCCTGCCTAAACTTAGTGAAGCGAAAAAACTCTTCTATGTCTAGAAGCTACCTGGACTTTCAAGAGTAGTTCAAATACTTTTAAGCAATGCTCATTGCATGTGCTAGCGGTTCAGTTGTTTTTATGGACTCCGGTTACTACGAAGTAAAACGAAACAAGTAAATAATGAGCGCGGATATTACCGCTAGCGAAACACAGAATAATAATGAATAAGCCTTTATCAAACTACAGAACCTACGTCTCGCCCTTGACTTTCGCTCCCGCTTGACCCCGCACCATTTAGGGACGCGTGTCTAGCTAGAGTCGTCTCAGACGGTGAGACGACGAGATAGTTATGGGGATCGTTGCGGTAGACGACGATATGACATTAGTGTTGTGAGAGATCAAGTTATTCTCTTCTTAGGCTTGTGATAGAGTGTTTCTTTTACCAAAAACTGCAATGTTTTATCTTTGAAGTATCTTATGTTTAGAAGTCTTCGAAGCACATGCAACATAATAATTGCCTTCATTTGCCTCGGCGATATCCTGCAGTTGTCTGGTCTATACATAATGGTGATCTCCTATCATGTGTAAGTTTGAAATATCTCAAGGGGTTTGCAATTACAACGAACAAAATCTTGAGGGAAAAGTACTACTACTTGTAGTGAGCGTGAGTGCAATCTTTTGTATACTGAAGGTGACGCACGATGCACTTTTCATAATTCACTAGGAAAACCTTTGTAGGAAATCGCGAAAATTTGTGGTGTGTAATAAAATGGACCATCAAAGAAGAGGTTGATTGATTTTGTCACTACACACATTGCCATAAAGGAATCTTGCTTCAAGTCCCACGAGCTAAGGGGAACGAAGTGGAATTGTGAAAGTGTAGACATAGAAAGCATGTTCCCATGAACGCGTTTTTTTTGAGAACCTATTAGAATTAGAAAAAGAATTAGAACCGAATAGGAAGTTCACTAACACGGAGCTGGCTTTTACCGATAAATAGTCGTGTACAAGGATTTCATCAACTATGGATTTCATTTGAATACAGGAGCACCTTGAGAGCAAACAGTTTTCCACCAAAATTCCAATGTCATCACTATAATCAAGCTGGAGGGGAAGGGGTAACCTTCTTTTACTTGGTGTCGATTCAGAAAAAGCTTAATGCTTTTATTCACACTCGGTATAGAACTTTCTCGTAGATAACCCAAAGCTTCTGAAATTCCTGGACAAGACTGACTCTGGTTAGATATAGGCAATAGACAAGCAAGCATCCTGTTTCCTATAGCCATGTAATGTGATCCTAGATATGAGCGAGATTCAACTTCAACTCAACTTCTAGCCTTACTTCTTCTAATTTTATTCATTCAGCATTCCCAATCATCTTATGCCCCAAGCCGTTTGCGTTTACTGGCAGATTATTCCAGCTTGCGGCATGTTTTTAACTACTACATTTCTACTCGGAGTAGCGATTGACAGGTTGCTGTCTCTTCAAAGATTTTAGTAAGTGATTACTCCTCTATGCATGATTTATGATTCCCCACTACGTCAGAGGAAAGTCTAGGAGCTTCTACGAAGGACCTGAGCAGATCTCGTTTTCAAGTTCTATTTCGATCTTAATAGACAAACACGAAGTCGCTTGAGCTGCTTTTCAACAATTCCAATTTTGGGAGCTGATATAAAGGTGGCCCACTCATAAATCGTATATTATCCGTTGTTTCAGTACATTTCTCACACAGCACTACCAGAAGACCTACATCTCTATGCATATAGCTCCAGCTCTCGCAATTTCCCTTTGTTTTGGTATATGGATATTTATCGAACGTACTGAAAAAGAGTGAGTTGGTATGAACAGAATTTGGATGCTTCATTTTTCGGTCGTAGTTCATCTTTGCTGCAGAGGTGCTGGCCAATGCGAAAAAACAAAGGGCTAGAAAAACATTCCAGTAGGGTTGGGTTACGGAATCACTCGTTACGTTTGGAATCGGCCATTACTTGCCCGTCTAGTTTAACGAACATTCACATTGGGAGAATCACGTCTAACTGGTATATACGACATTCCCTTTCAAAGTGAAGAAAAGATAGGAAGGGAAGGAAAGCCATTCTTACCAAAGATTAGCCTCGAATTCCTGTACTTCTCACTTTAATCTTCTGCGGTATCCTTGACTGTGATATATTCCTGAAGAATTATAGAAGAGTACGTGATTTTGCGACATATTGGTGAAGCAAGTAAAAGGTAGGGTTGACAGTCTAGTAAGATCACATTTCCTTGTGGGCACCCCGAAATAAAGGAATTCGAGCGGCAAGAAACGACACCACATTCTCACCGTGGTTTTCGTTCTCGGACAATATCTATAGGGTGTGATTCTTCCATAAAAAATATCTGGCTATGGACTCTTACCTGATTAGTAAATGAAAATTGAATATACCCAATCGACATAAAAGTCTGTGTGTGTACATTTTTTCATTTGTTGAATATGACTGTATCAGACTAACTGTAACATTTGAGGAAAGTGCTCTGTATCGTTACTGCCACTATGGTTGAAGAGATATATGAAGTTGTGACAAAATATATAATGATAATGAATATACTGATTATTGTTTGCTATGCTCTATTCTTGTATTTTATACGAAAAGCTGCAATTAGTGAGTGTTCTTCAATTTTGGCGCTACTGGTAAAAAATTCGTAAAGGAAGAAAGGGAAGTAAGGTGGTTGAACTTCAATTCTTTCATGGATGACAGGTGATGACACTAGAGGACTGGTACACTAATAATAGTATTAATAACAGTCTTTATCGGTAGGTGAGTACTAAAACTTATAATAGATCTTTCGAGCGTTTGGTCGAAAGAAAAAAGAGCAGGATGCGGCCACCATCCAAATATTTCCATCCTTGAGCGGGGGTTTATCGAATGAATGGTTAACTCAATGCAACAACT